GAAAAGGAGAAGACACCGATGACGAAAATGCATGGAAGACAGACTGGACCCTGTTCCAGTCCAGCGCCCCACCTGTTTGTGGTCTCGCAGATGTGTTTAGCTTCTTAAGTGAGAACTTCGGTGTCTGTGTTGTTGATCCTGCCACGAAGTATGGCGGGCTCGTGGACCACCCACAAGCGTCAAAGAAGTACCCCTTAGCGACCTATGTAGCCACAGACTGCAGGAGGCGTCTGTATAAGTTCTTAGGACAGCAAGAAGCTGACTTCACTTATGACTTCGCTTTTTCAACGATCCGAATCGAGCCGCGCTTCGTCAAGAGTTTTGACGTAAATAAATCGTTCAAGCCGCTCGTGGTGGTAGAATTAGAACCGAAGACAGAAGGCCGTGATACTCCGAGAAGTGTCCTACTGCGGTATGGACTCCTCTCGTTTGTGTCGGGGTCTGGGCCGTTTCACCTCGTCCTTGACGAAGCTGATCCCAAGCGCCTCCAACTCCTCTGTGGTGGCAGGGATCCACCTAGCTCGGAGGGGCTTTTCAGATCTTTGTCGACGTTTTGCGCAGGTGACGCTCCGGCCAGCGAGCCTGGCCAGAGTTCCAGTTCTCACGAGCGCGAAGTGCCCAACTCAGACACAGTCCTAGACCAGAATATGGAAGAGCAAGAGCAAGGCCTCACCTGTGAACCCGTAGAACAGACGAGACCGAGCGCAACAGCCGCGCAGGACTTCGAGACGAAGATGCAGGACCCCGAGAGGCGCAAGATCACGCAGGAACAAGTTCAGGAGATCTATCGCGCTTTGATCCGCGAGAGCGATCAGTTAGGAGGACTGCCAGACGCAGTGAGAAAGCTGAAGGAAAAGAAAGAAAAGCGTCTCACGGATGACGATATACTCTTCATCCATATTGAAGATGAGCACAGGCCGGCGAGTAGTCTAGCCATTACTCTTCAGATTGCTGGATACCAGGTCAAAGAGGAACGAGTTAGAAAGATCATCGTAGAACGGTGCAAGTGTAGGGGTGTAGCATTCAACAGAATGCATCCGAAAAAGAAAGAGTCGCTTCGTGTCCCACTTGCCAGAAATTGGGAGGTAGACATGTTCTATCTTCCATGGGGCAATGGTGTCTTGAAGCTCGGGTCGCGAAAGCTTCCTGAGCATGACAGCAGAGAAGCGCAGCTGCGCAACCAAGGCGAGGATCCTTATGAGATGGTTTGTAATTCTCATAATGATAGTCTAACACTCCCAGCAGGAAAGACAGAGTCTCTTTTGTTTAGGTTTGAGACGCAAGTAAAAGTAAAACCAACTGAGATCTTTGTTAGTGACAACCACGTACGCGGCAAGAGAATGCTGGGACATGATGCCATCAGGACGCAGGTTCCCATCTTGTCATATTACGCACCAGAGCAGGCGACGGCAACTGTGGGGCCTTTAAGTTTTCTCTATCGGGCTTTATGGTATGACTTGTTTGAAGTAGGTCAGCAGTTAGCACTTGACAAAGCAGACTTTGTGGAAATGATTAACGCTAAGATGGCCTGCATTCCTACAGGTGGCATAAATTTTAGATGGTTACTTCCAGATAGACAGTCTCAGTACTTGTTGGAGCGTGCTGTAGTCGGATTAGCTGACTTATATCTCGTCAGAGCTGTGCTACAGCCGAAAGTGCAGCGAATGCTCAGGCGTCAAACTACCGCAAGGTATGGGTTGATGATGCCTGAGAAAGCACTTCCAGACGAGGAGCAAGTGTGCCTCGCCTATCATCCACAGCATGGCTTGTTTGAGGCTTTGCTTGGTGGTGTCAAAACGGTCGTAACCGTTCACGCAGGTGGTCGCGCGTACCCACTGCGCCCCCGGGCATTGCGTTGGGAACGCATGCAGCCTGCTACGCGGGATCAGGTAGCGTTTGCAATTTTCGCGCCGCACATCGCCGCACGCGTTGAGTTCCTCGTAGGTGACTGGGTTTCCCTTGGTACGCGCCCGCTCCAAGATGATGTTATCCAAGGGCCGGTCTCCGCCCAGCAGTTAGCCCACAACTGCTCTGATGTGGACCAACTTCCAGTGATGGACCACTTCCGTGTTCGTCGTGTTGGAACTCCCCCAGGGGCCATTTCATTTTACGCGCATCGTGCGCGAGGACAAGGGATGGAACCAGAGCAGTACGACGTCGAGATGCATGCGCATGACGAGTGCCCGAACGTGATCTGCCTCACGTCGCACAGCCACACGCCCGACATGCCCGTTTGTGTTTATGGCAGCCGTGTCGACGGCAAAGTCTTCTGGAAGGGACAGGCCAGAGACGCAATCTATTTCATGTGGAACAGCACAGGCCCTGCGGGCGCAGGTGTTAACGCGTGTCCGCAAGCTCGTGTCTGGGTTCGCAGGGATGGCTCCGACCTCCTCGACGTAGGAACGTTCAACAGCGTCACTAGCTCTAGCCACGAGAGCATAGATTTTAGTTCCCCAGTGGATGACGCCACGGCAGAAAGTGTAAGTAGTAGCTCCGCAGTCGTTGAATCAGTAGGATCGAGGTATGATCAAGCGATAGCGTTTGAGTACTTACGTGACATGATTAGCACAGCAGAAGCCTACAAAGACCGAGACTTCATCGCGCGCCGCGTTGAAGCTAGTAGAGACCCGTCTTCTGGCGGTGGTCTTGTGTTTTCAGTTGAAGGTGAGCGCGGAGGATTCTGAGTCTCTGAAGAGACCCTTTATCGCTTCGCAGCGCTCGGCGGACCACACTCGGCCGAGCGTGTCACCCTCGCGCAAGAGGTAGTTTGGTCTGAAGGCCAGACTTCTGTAGGGTCAGACGCTTTGTTTAATAACATCCGCGACCTCGATGAAAACTACTTAGCAGTCGAGGTCTCCCAGGACTCCCCCGCGCCGGAGATCCCCGCAAAGTTTCTTGTGGGAGCGGCTGCGGGAATGTCTATGGGCCAGGTTGTGGGCGACTTCCGCACAATTGGCCGTGGTGCGATCGCATTGGTCACAGGAGAAGACGTCGCCCCCTACGGGTATGACACAGAGACAGTCCATTGTCTCAGCGGCTCACTTCCACTAGACGTCGTTGAGGGCCGCATGTGTCAAGCGTCTTCAACTATCGACGCTGACAGCGAGATCGTCCGGCTATGGGATCAGCACGAGAAGAAAGAGGTGGAGAAGGAAATCCTTCAGACCATCGGGGAGGTGGACATAATCAAGCAGAACATGAAGACGACGAAGACTCGCCCAGAAATAGAGTCTAAGTATGTGCTTGCGGCTGAGCTGATATCTGGTAGGATCCCATCACCGGAAGAGATTCTTGAAGAGTCTCGCCGCGCGTACTACATAGGGAAGGAAGATGGTCGCCGCCCTGTGCTGATACTTGACAGAGTAATGGTCATGCTTGCCCGCTGGGATACACCTGCTTCGCCGCCCGAGGGATGGACTTCGGATGAGATTCGGGAGTTCGTCATACAGCATGACCTCTCCGCACTTGTTGATACAGGAGATCTCTCCGGCCCCGGTTTTGATTTAGTTGGGTCTCTCTCAGTTCTAGACTCACAGGGTCCTGAGTGGTCAGACCTGGCTAACTCTATTCGTAAGGAGCTCGGTTCAACCGGGGCACAGCTTCGGCAGCGTTTCGACATGTGTCACGGAAGCATCTGCAACGCAACACTCGCGGTAGCCGACGGCCCACGAGTGACTCTGCCGCATCGTTTGTTTCCCCACCGTGTAGCAGGTTTTACCGGGTCAAGTAGTGAACTGGATCCATATGTAGTGCTGACTAAGTTTCTTGTCCGTGACATGGTCACTGGTCGTTACCATGTCACCACGCCCCAGTGTCTCTACAACATGAAGCCATGGTGTAGAAACAAAGGCCAAAGTGGATGCGTCGACAACCTTGGAGTCGCTTGGGGCAACCGCGACATTAGTCTTGGCAGGATGAGATCGCTAGGGACTCGCATAGAGTTTGACATAGGTGGCACTACAGTCCAGATTAGCAAACTAATCACCTTCGGAGAGAGACTATCTACTTTCGGTAGCATCAGCCAGAGTAGTTCTTTCTTTGCTTTACAAGCAAAGAAAGACCCAGAAACAACAGACAGCATCTCGTTAAAGATAGGAGAGACTGTGACTATCTCGGTACCCCTACCGTTTATGATAGGACTCGACGTCTTACTGTTCCTCCACAAGCGTGACAGCGACCGTGGCCTGATTCTTACGAAAGACGGCATAGAGGCGCCGATAGTTACCGTAGTGACGTCCTCTCGCCGTTTAGTTTTACAAGTAGAAGCTACCAAGCCCTGCAGAATCACCCAGAGGGGGGTAGATGTCATGTGCAAGCTTTTGCGCTGCAAGACACTCTCGCAGAAAAAGTCCAACTTGCCAGTCTTGACGCGTGCCGATGTCTTGCGAGCAGGGCCAGAAACTGGCCTGAAACTGCTCGACGCTGAAGAGTCAGCTCAAGACAAGGGTGGGGATGAGCCCAAAGCATCGCCCAGTGCCCCGACGGCACCGGGTGAGCCCGTTGCAACATTCAGTGCTGCAATAAATGCGCCACCGGTGACTCCGGATCTCCTCAAGGGTGCCGCAGAGGAGCACGAAGAGTTCCAGAAGAGATTTAGTGAGAACGATGAGGGCTCCCCCGCGTTCCTCGCTGATCTCTACATACAGCTCCTCACTTACGTAGACATGAGCGTCATCCTCAAAGCCGCTGAGGATAGCAAGACTCTTAGCGCGGGCGACTTGATCCATATGGTAGAAGTTTTCTGCTTTATGATTACGGTCCAGTATGGACATAGAACGCACAGTCGTGAAGGGCATAGTCTCAGTACATACAAGTGTAATGAGTTTGGTGTAGAACTACTTAACTTCGGCATGAGACCGCGGGAGCAGCCGAAGCGAATGCGACACACGCAAGACGAAAACTTTATGTCTGATCTACTAGCACAACAGGCAGTCATAATGCAGATTCTAGAGAAGTACGACATTCAAAAGCATGGGCCACTTCGCTACGTTTCTAACTCTATGCGAGCCAATAGGGCAAACAAAAAGGGAGGTCGACTGGTCTTTATATACTTAGGACCAAACGACATCGCCATAGATGTCTATTGCTATTCAATCATAGCAGGGGAAGTGCTAGACTTTCTCTTTGACTCCACTTGCAAGGCCATGATCGCAGACGACATTAGGCAGGCTTTCTATGGCATCCGTGTCACAGATGAGTTGGCTTCGTGGTTAGCAATCATGATCGGCTCGGCAATTTATGTGCCGCGCCGGGCATGCTTGGGGTTTAAGCCTTGGCCAGGGGTTTTCATGCAGGTTGTTGCATCGTTCGCAGCATTACGCTGTGGTGAATCGGCAGCAGAGGACTTCCGAAAGGAGTTCATTCCGCTTGCGCAAGGGGTTTCGTTAGGGTCTTTGCATGTTTTTCGTGACGTAAACCTCTCTTGGAAGAGCATGCAAGCGCAACAGGCTGAACAAGCTTAGCCAAAATCCGTTTGCTCTGCGTACTCGTTGAAAAATAGAACTTGTTCGTTACTATGACTCAGTGTCTACCCCTCGTCTAGATATTGTTTATCAATTCCCATCCCCACCCTATATGATATCGCATCCAACTACTTTCGTGTTCAATTATTAAGTCAGCTCAAGCTTTTCGTTTTGCAATATATTAGTTCGTTAGGCACGTAAGATAAATGCCAAATTCTGGCTGAAGTGTACATGCTGCAAGCATGAACAGAACACAAGAAAAACGCTGTTAGCAACAAGCACACCAGCAGCGGACCTGAGGGCGACACATTGAGAATGTGGCCGCTCAATGACAAGCAACTTACGGACTATGTACTCTGAGAAACTAGCTTCAGTATCTATAGTCGAAGGAAGTACTGCCTTGAAGTTTGATAGACCATCTACTTAGTTGGTTGCGATAGTTTTTTATCTTTTCCGAGCAGTGGCACCGCGGTGAGCATCTGGCGCGACGCCAGAATATACATATATCGCATGTCCCGGCAAATATAACCCGAAGCAGGAATATACACTATATGACTGGTGACGCAGCATCGAGCATTTTTCGCAAAGATGGAACTGGAATGGGAATTCATTGGAATGGGAACTGGAGGGGTTTTGGATCGGGATTTGGAGGGAAGGGCGAAGCTCATGGTCATGGTTCAACCTACGAAGGAAGACATGGGCTAACGCTAACCAACATAGCAGCAAAGTCGGCGCAGCACTTGGCGTGGGTGCCGGATGACTCCTAGAAGGCGTCGTGTTGTGGGGGCTCCCTGCTGTGGCTATCTCCGCTCTAGTCTGTTTCAAGCAGTCCTTTTCTTTTTCCGCTACAGTCCTATCTTTCGCAACCTTCAAATAAAAGTGCTCTTTTTCACAAGTTTTGTCTACTATTTATCTTTCGTACCGTCCTGCTAAATAGTTGACTTGAAGTAGATCCTGCTGCGCCACGATTAGTATCTGTCTTATATATTTGTGCTTGATTTGTTTTCGTATCTATGTTTTATTTAATTAATTTCAGCATCATCACTCACTTTTTCAATAACTTGCTTAATCTAGTTTGACTCCTTTTCGCTCTATTTTTGTGTTTGACTACTTATCATTATTTTTCGTTGGATGTTGAATGTGTAGTATAGTTCCCTTTCAGCACGTATTTTTTGAGTTGTGTTGATGTCATGTCGCATCTAGTTTAAGGTCGTAAGTTTGCTTAGCCTTAGGAGGCACGTCCTCAGCTATCGCGCGTGCGTTATAGTTGGTTTTTTGCACGACGCGGGTTGTCGTTGTTTGACCTTAAGAAGACGGTGGATCCGCGCTGTGGGTCTTAGTCTCGAGGGTGTAAGAAAGGGTAGACAAGAAGCGAAGCCTTCGCGAAGAACGTAAAGTAAGCCAAAAGTGTCAGGAAACACTAGACAGCGGCTGAGGCGTTTATGGTAGAAGTCTACTGGTAAGACCATTGCGGGGCGGCGTTTGCTGGTAAGCCCAGAGTGGGGATCTGGCGTTTGAGGTTGGGGGCACTCGGAAGGTGAACTGCGATGAAGGCGCAGTAGCGGCGCCTCGTGATGGCTATGGTGGATCTATACTGTATCGCCGATGTTGCATTTTTTAAGTAACTCACCGTGGGCAGCAGGTAGTTTAGTTCCTAGCTTCTGTTCGACGTATTTTCGTACTTTCGACCTTCCCCTGTGTGCTAGTTAGCTTGTCGTAGCGTCTTGTAGTTAGTTGTATACTCGTCTTTTTTTCACTTTTCAGTGCAGTTTTGAAGGCTTAGAGCGGGGTGGTCCATCAGCGTTGGGCAGCTGCTGCGGCATGATACCCGAGGGACGGGGATCCAGCAGCAGCCCAAAGAAGATCAAGGAGAGAAGTTTTGTCTGTGTCAAAAAGGTCTATTTCTAGTAGGAACCGATAACCCGGAACAGCTTGAAAAAGCAAAGAACTTTGACAATTTCGGTTGGATCTTCAATGCACATTGAGGGCATTACATTTGTGCACTTGAACAAGCAAAGCAGCTGTTGACCTGCTACATGATAAAAGAAAATCTTTGAACAGCCACATTAGGGCCATTGGATGGCGAGAGAAGCACGATTTTGAGCCCGTTTGGGCAGTTGAAGCCCAAAGTGGCACTTTTCACACAAGAAGTAATTCAACAACTCGAATCCAAAAGCATGGGCGTTCTTCACGTTACGCCGGTGCTCTTCCTCCGGCATGCTAGGGGCAGCGTGCTCGAGATCCGATCATGCAAGGTGTTAAGGAGCGTTTTTCAACGTTTTGGAAAGTAGGCGGCTGCTCAGCTGGGGAATACATCTTCCGGGAGGGAAGGCGTCAGCCGCGTCCCAGTTGCAGTCAAATAATAATCCTGCACCCGTCAGATTCTGCGAGGAGTAAGATCGGGCGGCAATGTTAGGCCGCTGCTTTATTTCGGCCGTTTTTGTTTTTTGTCCTTTCAATTTTCGAGATCGAGCCTCTTGATTCGTTGTTTTTAATTAGCTCCGTGGGCGACTGCGGCGCCCAATTAATGACACTGGCGCGGTTTTTTTTTATGGATCTGCCCAAAGGATCCGACTCCTTCGCATTTTCTTAAAAGGAGCAGCTTCCTGCGTCAGCCATCCAGCCGTTTGCAATAATTCGGCGCGGCTGGCGCCTTCCCCCTGATGTATGTATCTCCCAGCCGAGCAGCGGCCTACTTTTTAAAAAAGTCAAAGAGTCGCTCTCTTTTATTTTTTTAAAAAGTAGGCGGCTGCTCGGCTGGAAAATACCCACCCCGGGCAGGAATGTGCCAGCCGCGTCGAATTTTAGAGCATGGAGCAGCTGGCTGGATAATTCAAAAAAGTGGACTTCTTGGCATTTTTTGACATGGGACAGCACTGGTGAAAATTCCCGGGGGTCTCATTTTCAAGCGGAAAACTTGCAAAAATGAGCCAAAAAAGCGTCGCTTATTTCTAATCCCAACTGGAATAAATTCGCAGCCCAAGGACTCCCCCTCCAGTAATTGACCATAAAAACGCGGAAAGAGTTTGCTTTTTTCTAGCCCCCACTAGAATAAGCTCCCAGCCCAAGCGCTCCCCTCTAGTAATGGAGCAGAAAAGTGCGAAGGAGGTTCCTTCTTTTCTAATCCCAAATGGAATAAATTCCCAGCCCAGGCACTCCCCTCTAGTAATTGAGCCGCAAACAGTGGAGGGCTTTCCTTTTTTTCTAAAGCCCAAGGGAATAAATTCACAGCCCAGGCACTCCCCTCCAGTAAGTGAACCAAAAAAGTGGAAAGCGTTCTGGCCCCCTATGGAGGCTCTGCAAGGTCGCCACTGTTGCCAATGGTGCGACATCCCCAATAACGCCTATCAGTCTCTCACTATTCCCACCAAGGTACCGGCTGCCGGGTTTGGAGCACGATGCCCGCAACCGGGCCAGGCCCTCCGGGCGCGTGGGCCTTCCGTCCAAAGCGACGCCCGTTTGCACGTTTGCCGCGCAGAAGTTCCCAAAAGCCCCGGAATTTTGGGGAGAGACCAAGCGGAAGGCGGTCCGCGTGTGCCATCGGCGCAAGGGTCGGCAATCTATTGCGGGTCTGCATCTCAGCCCAATGCGATTCCGGAAAAGTGACAAGCTGCCCAGTTGTTTCCCCGCAGGCCACTAGGCAGGGCGGCCGCAGCCCTAGGGGGTGAGGGGGAGCAGGGTCGACGCGGCCCTCTATAGAGGCCGGCGGGAAACCTCGCGGGGGGCTGTTGTCCACCCCGGCAGGATTCCCTCCTGTTGGGTCTCTACTGGTCCCCCGGCCACGGTAATGGCACCCCTTAAGGGCGACGTCGCCCTTTGTAGCGGCATACGGGGAAGCCTTATGGGGTCCTGTACCGCCCCCACCGGATTCCCGACCCTTCCGCCCCTGCAAAGGTAAACGGGCGGCCCATGGCTGCAGGGAGACCACGGGGGACCCCACGGGAGGCCCCTGAGAGACCGCGGGCCCCTTTGCAGGGGCGGAGGGGTCGCGAAGCTCTCGGGGGTTGAAAAAAAGCCCGATAGGCTTTCCCGTTGGCCGCTCTCGAGGGATATTCTGCCCCCAACCCCCCTCCCGTAGCATCCGCCGGCGAAGCCCTCGCGCCGCGCCTCCCCCCCTTGAGGGCGGACGCGGCAGCAGCACTGCAAGGGCTGCAAGAGCCCGACTCCCCTGCGACTGCCCCCCGGAAAGCCTTCAAAAGTCCAGGCTTTTTTGGGGGGGGGGAGAAGGCAAAGGGGCGGCGGGCCGCGTGAGTCGTCGACCCATCGCAGACTGGCTGGCGTGCTTGGAGCAGGAGGCCCGAAACCGAGCCCGCGGGCGCGGACTCGTGGCCCTTTCCTCCAAGGCCGCGACCTTCTGCGACTCCTTTCGGCAAAGTCTTCAAAAGTGCAGGCTTTCTGGGGGCGAGAAGGCTGGCGGCCCGCGTGGGTCGTCGACTAATCGCGGACCGGCTGCCAAGCTTAGAGCATGAGGCCCAAAGCCGGGGCCGCGGAATCTCCGGGGCCTTCGGTGTCCTCCCTCCTAGTTTCCTGCCCACGTTGGCGGGGACGATAGCCTCGGGAATCTAGTGGGGTCCTGGGGTCCGTCGCGAATAGGTCCCGCACAGAAAACAAAACTCTCCGCCGTTTCTCCTTAAGGTCGTGAAAACGGATTCCAACACACTGCAGTGGGCATCGGGGCCTTTCGCTTCCTATAAAGTGACTCCTTGAGGAAACTAGTGCGATGGCCCGGGGCTCGACGCAGTAGAAGTCGTTCATGGGCTAGGCGTCTCGCGTGAATTCCGTAGTTGTAGCTTGTTACCGGCTTCTCGTCCAAAAATTTGATGTTCCGGGCGTGTTGCCAGTGGGACAAGAAAAAGAAAATGAGCATGACAGGGACACAATCATGACATGTATATACTTAAGCATGCTAAACAAGAACATCAAGCACGTGCAGTGCTGAATTGTAGCTCTTTTTGGGGTCGGTGCACATAGCTTTTTTTGGGCTCGATCGAGATCCCCTTGAAGCTTGAAGCGAGAGCCGCTGATCTTCAGACCGCTTATTAAACTGTTGGAGAAACAAAAGAAGTGCTGGAGAGTGCATGAATATGCATAGGTTTATAGTGGTTTTAACCAACATTTATAAGTGGTGCCTGGAGGCTCGAAGTTGGCCTGGGCGAAGCCTAGATCAATATACCTTTTTTTTTTTAATTTCTACACGTCTAAAACATCATTTTTTGAAGGAGCCATCATGAACCACTAGGGAATCATTTCTAAGTAATCAGGATGAACAAACTATGCCTTCACCCGCACCTTTGCCGCACATTATTGGGGTGCTTGCCTGCTCAGCTCGTCGTGGTATGGATCAAAGTTTTTTCTCTCATTCAACCTGATCTCGAGGAGAGAGACACTTAGAGTCGAGACTCTCACCACTAACAATTAGTCAATTGAGACTTCCTTTAGAAGAGAGATCTCTCCCCCTCAATTTTGTTCTTCATACTCTGGGTGATGGGGCGTAGCGGTCGACTGCCGTGGCATATTCCTGAGGAGACGAAGCATTTTCAGACCCTAACAAAAGGAGGTATTTGCATTATGGGTCACTCTACGTGGCTGGAGTTTCGAGAACTCGGTTTTCATCTTGGCTGCACTAAGGCAAGGCTGTTTGTTAAAGTTGTTGATCATCTGAAAGAGTAAGTTCGATTCGAAATTTAGATAGCTTAATACAATGGATGAAGTCTGCTGCAGACATTTATGCACGGATTGGATTTTTTGCATAAGGGAAGTGTATTGACATGGTCTATAATGCGAGAGTACTATTGATTCATTTGTTGTCCACCGATTGGAGGATTCTCTTTTATTTATCTTGTGCGTCCCTAGTTTGTGTATCCTTCTCTTCGCACTTTGTTGAAACGAGGATCTCTTCGCACTTTGTTGAAACGAGGATGGCTATGATGTGAATCCACCAAGAGGACGAGTAGATGGACTTCGCATAGACAAGGATGGCTATAATATGAAGCCTCCTGCAAGAGACGGTTGTAGACAAGCGGTAATTGTTTCCCGAAAGGCAGAAGTTTTTGGAGCGCAAAGGTGGCTTGGGCAAGCGCTTCGCAAGGAAACAAGTTCACTCTTAAGGCGAAGGTTTTACGTCATCAATGATCCTAGTTGTAAGATTTTACTACTGAGATTGAGAAGAATTATTTTTATTTGAGTATGAGCGCCCTGGGTAAGCAGAGAGTTCCGAGACCTCTGGCGAGAGAGGACAGAGCAGCTTAGGCTCGGGAACAAGGAAGAGGCCAAGCAGCTGCTCAAGCAGATGAAGTGGACCGAGAAGCGAGGTCAAAACGCTTTCGCCGAAAGAGTGCGCAGGGAGGCAGAGGAGCACTTCTCCAAAAGCGGACAGGCGCCCGCAATAGCGAAGAGATCAACCCTGGGCGGTAAGAAAGCCAAGGAACACGACGGAAGCCGCTCGAGGATAAGCGAAACATTGGAACACGAAGGGGAGGTCGCCTACACCGCCAGGGGCAAGGCGGAACTACGCCGAGCTTTCTTCGAGGCTGTCTTCACCGGAGAAGAGCCGCCACAGCTACCAGAGCGAGAAGCCCGAGAGCTGCCACAGGGGTACAACCGCACACGGAGGCACAGTGGCACAGCAGGAGAAAGCGAAGAAGAGCGCGACTTAGAGGACAGGAGTACAACCGCACACGGAGGCACAGTGGCACAGCAGGAGAAAGCGAAGAAGAGCGCGACTTAGAGGACAAGGAAGTCGACGAAGCCATAAGAAGACTCAAGACCGGCAAGGCAGCAGGCAGGGACCAACTAAAGAAGGAGCGCTGCGAGCTGCTAAGTGCGCACAGCAAGAGTCTAGTGAGGGAAAAGGTGCGCAAAAACTGGCGAGAAGGGGCCCTAGACGAAGGCGAAGTAGACTCACTAATAGTGGTGCTACCAAAACCAGGAAAGGACCACGGCAGCACTGCAGGTTGGAGGCCTATAGCCCTTCTGAATTTCTTCGCAAAGATCTTCGCGTCCGCACTATACCTCAGACTTGTTGGCCCAATAGACCAGGCACTCTCAGAAGCACAGGCAGGACGCCGACCCTGCCGAGGAGCTATAGACAACACCCTGGCGCTACAGTTAGCGATCCAGGCACGGGCAGCAGTGGGGCGCGCCACGTCTGTCTGTTTTGTGGACCTGACACAGGCGCTCGACACGGTGCCACGAAAGCTGGCGGCCAAGGCCTTCGAAGCATACCAAATACCACAGCAACTACAGAGGAACTTCTGGGCTTTGTACGAGGGGCACGCCTTTGCAGTTCGCAGGGAAGCAGCCGTCAGCGACTCAAGGAGCACGACCACCGGCACAGAGCAGGGCTGCCTTCTATCACCCCTCATCTTCAGCATGTGTATAAACTACGTCCTCGAGCGGACTGACCTAGGAGAAGGAGCCAAGATGCACAGAGCAAAACTTTTGGAAAAGGACGAGGGAGCCGCAGCAGGAGAGGCGCGACTAGATCATCTGTTACACGCTGACGACATCGCGCTACTAGCAGAAGACGAGGAGAGCCCAAGGAAAGCCACGCAGGGGCTGGTAGACACGATGTATGAATACGGCCTGACAGTCAACCTCGCAAAGACAAAATATGTTGAATTCGACCCCAGCGGGCAGGCGGAGAGGGCCGCGGAGGCAGGTGGGCTCACCTTGGAGCAAGGCAATGTCGAGCGGGTGTGTGCCTTCACCTACCTAGGCAGCACACTAACCCAAGACGGGGACGACGAAGCGGATGTCCTCAGCAGGATAGAACGAGCCCAGAAGAAGAGCGGGGAGCCCTCCAAGGTCTTCGCGCACAGGAGCATCGGCAGGGAGCTAAGTCTGCGCATCTTGAGGGCGTTCGTGTTGCCGGTAGCGCTATGGGGATCCGAGGCCTGGACACTAACGAACAAGACGAGGGCTGCGCTCGACACATGGTGGCACAAGAAGCTACGCTCATGCATTGGAGCCACGAAGGCCGACCACATCCGCACGGTGGACCTGCTCGAGAGGACGGGGCAGGAGCAGCTCAGCAGCATTGCCGAGCAGAGGCGACTCAGATACATCGGGCACCTAGTGCGATACCCGGCGACAAGGTGGGCGCGAATCGCTTTAGCAGCAGAAGGGGAACAAGCACAGGGCTACAGGAGAGGCAGGGGAGCACCGCGCGCAACCTACAGGAGGCAGCTGGAGGCTGACCTCAGGGCGAGAGGGGTGCAGCTAAGCAACGCAGAAAGCAGAGACCTCTGGGCACAAGTAGCAAGGCAGAAGCCTGGGTCTCGTCGTTCATCATCAGGGACAACAGGAACAACCGACAGACCAGGAACAATCCAACAACAAGCTAGACTAGCGGGTAGAACTCGTCTGGGAAATCTTAGGCAGCTCGCCGAATAGATTCAATTCATCACCGTGAACTCCTGGACGAAATAACGAATCAGGTACTGGATGAAAAAATTTTTAATTTTTCTTAGACGTACAGTTACGGGACGTCTTCTAAAAATTTCAACTACGAAACAAGGGCATGAAGGAAGTTCAAGTGACCGCGATGTAGTATGGCACGTGCAGTCTCCCGGAGAGAGCGTAGGCTTATTGGGCGAGCTTCTCGGAGCATCTTAAGGCTTCCTCTCCTTGAATGAGATGATTCATTTGTACCTTGAGGATCGCAATAGATTATGACAATCAAGAAAGGAGTTGTTTTTTGTGCAGGAAGTGAATCGTCATGCTGGAGGGAAGAGGCGTAGATCCTGACTAAGATCTGAATTTGGAAGAGAAGAGGAATTCAGCCAAAGAACCCAGCACTGGAGAAGACAGCAATTTTTCGACGAATACATGTGCTGCATCTACTTGTCGTAATATTAGTCCTACTACGTCTACCGTGCGTCGCTGTTTTATGATCGGAGGTGCGGTGGTCGCGGAAGCTTTTCTGAAAGAAGGGCTGATTGCAGAATTTTACCTTTCGAAAATACGCACGGAAGCGTTCGATCTATGAAAAGGTGAAGGGTAGAAGAACGCTCACACCATTATTTTTTGCCTTATAATTTTTTCCTTTCATATGTTGATGATGCAGCAGCACGGCTTGTCTTGTCCGTGGAAGACACGGAGGAACCACTCGACGAGGCCTGCTTCGATGCGACACGACTCTTGCCGGCTACGCTGTGGTCTAAAGAGATAGTGCGTGAAGCTGAGGCTTTTTGGGTCGAACATTACGTTAGGAAGTGAGAGGATGAGACCTGTGTGAGGAAATGCAGATCACTGGGAAGTCTGCTTCATTGGTCTTCGTTGACTTTGATCTTGTGTCAAAATCTTCACAAGAGTACACCCGAAGATAAGTGTTTGTCTTCTTATGTGAAGATTAATCACAGGAAGTGTTTGTCTTCTTACCTGAGTTCGCACCGTACGCTGAATGTACAGATGAATCGCGCTTGCAAAGTAAGAGCAGATAGTTGCCGTCATGTAATCGAAATGTTGTCGCCTACTTCACTGAAGCTTTTCACGGTGGCTCACATAAAGTCTCGTCTTTGTGAAAAGGACTATTTCATAGACACGTGTTCTTCATCCAAATGTATGGTGAACGAAATCGCGCGACGCGGATCTAATACTTCGAATGCCCAAGATTCAGATTCTGAAGTCATACATGAATCTTGAGTTGGTTGGATCCATCATGGACGAATGTCACTAGACTGCTTTTTTAGACTAAGTGGGCGAACGCCAGCACTATGTTGGTGGTGCAATCTTCCTTTCAGGTTTGTTCAGAAATCCTGCTGTACAACTAGAGGCTAGGGTGCAGAAAGATTAAATCTACTTGGCCATTATTTAGACTGCTAAGAGCATCCATGTTCGACGTTTCTGTCTCTCTGGCAAAGTAGTTGTTGTAAAGAGAAAACGATGTGACGCGCATTCGATTGCATGTATCGTAGCCCATTATGGCAAAAAGCTGAGAAAAGGACTGGGTTGTCTCTACGGGCACTGCGGCGCCGTGTCGTGTGCGTTAATCAACTGGGGTCGTACACGCTGTGAGCCATTCTTGTCCATCAAGGATATTTACATTGGAATCGAGGTCGTGACGCCGGAACGATTTCGGTGGCGACGTTGATAGCACTGCAGAAGCATTTAGACCCGACACGAATCTTCTGGAAGCACGAACTACTGGTGCACGTGGCTACCAGACAACTCATCATCCTGACCACGGGCACAAAGAAGGCAATAAACGCACACATCTTTCTCTTCATCTTTCAGAATCTTTCAGTCTACAGTAGTAGTTCTTTCAGAATCTTTCAGAAGTCTACAGTAGTAGTACACTGCAGAGCTGTATAAGATGGAGGGTGCTAACACACCAGAACAGTGGTACAAGAACCTTCCGGTTCTGACTAGGTATGGCCTTACCATTATCTTCGCGACCACCATTCTAGTGCAGACGGAGATCCTTAATCCGCAACTGATAGTACTGCACTGGCCGTTGGTGTGGGGAAAGCTGCAGCTGTGGCGAGTTCTCACCTGCGTCTTCTTTTTTGGAGGGTACTTGTCATTTACAGAGAGATCTCTCTTTATTGTGGAATTCCTCCGAAAAATCAAAATTAGGGTAAGTAACCGTGTGATGTTCTTAATACACATAAGTACACATTTACAGTGACCACTTGATGTTCTTAACACACAAATAAAACTAGTCAACGTCTTACAGCAACATTGTTGTACACTGCAAAAAAAACTCAGGTTTTCCTTCAACTTGGTATTCCAGCTGTATTTTTTCACCTCTTTCTCATCGAAGCTGGAAAGAAATGAGGTCTTCGCATCGGCACCTGGGGAATATCTGCTGTTCCTCCTCTTCCAAATCGTTACACTAGCTGTGCTGTCGTTGTTATGAATGTAAATATTGCGCAAATTGAATGTAAATATTGCCCTTATGGCAGTCTGCCTTTATGGCAGTCTGCACTTCAGTCTTGCACTGAAAACCTACCTGCAAAATACGCAGGTAGGTTTTGATTTATCGGAACTCGCTCACGATACAAAAAAAAAAAGCGAGATCAATTGTATTGTATTGTAGATAGCACGTCGTCCGTGAGCTTTGATTATTTCAATATAGATTGAGACAAGTCACTATGATTCCTATCCAGCAGAAACGAACAAGTTTTTCATCTTGTTTCTGCCCGTCCTTCGTCTAGATTAGTACGAATACTTTAGTATGTGAATATGGCCCCACCCGATCAGGTTCTTCAGGAGGAAAAGCTAGATGCTGGTAGATGATCATCTCCCATAAGTTTGGTACGCTGTCTCTATTTTTAGAAGCAATACAGCACTACTCTTTTTGTACTAGTATAGCTGTAACTTTCTTAGAACCAGATAGTACAGTCTTCAGTGTCCTCCTGTCCCATTTTCATGAAATCTTCTCGCGTACCCGACTGGTTTGCCTACACTGGGACCATCCCTTGTTTTCGCGATTATCTACTACTGGAGCCGTAGGGAGCCGTACGCGCAGCTGAGCTTCTTTAGTTTTACGATACAGGGATATCAGTTCCCCTTCGCCTTGCTGTTCTTCCAGGTTTTGATGGGCGGATCCCCTTGGGCGGATCTTCTTGGTTTAGGCGCAGGACACATCTACTACTTCCTAAAGGAAGTAGTGCCGCAAGAGTACGGGTATTGAGATTTTTAGAAGGAATTGTTGTAGAAGTTTGTCTTTATTGGAAGAGAGCTCCAACGTCTACTACATCTAAGATGCAGTTCCACTTAAGAAACAACCCTTGATCTTCTATGATCAGGTACACGTTTATAAGAGCTCCAGCGTTTATGCAGTCGTTAGCTATCAAGCATCTAGGAGCTGTTCCCCCGCGAGGGTACCAGGCGCCAACGGCGACGAGGAACTTTCAGGGACCAGGTCAAAGACTGGGTGGGTGATTGTTGTATGCCGACTTTGGATGGGGCCTCCTAGCTCGCGTGAGCCATGCCAGGTATATGATGACTCGTCCTCTGATAATGAATCATGAGTGGTGACCACTTAAATACATTTAATGTTGACGGTCGTTTTCGCGTCAATAAGAAAGCCTAGATTCCGTCTCGGAGCAGGGCCTGCCGAGGAGACGGAGCGGGACACTGTAATAAAGATGAGAAATCTCGAAGAGGAACAAAAATCGTATTTCACCAGAATGGCACTACTTGTTTCTCTAAGATGTACCCGATGATGAGTTGATTCGCAACCCCCAACATCTGAATACCCCCCCTTCGCCCGCGGAGTAAGTACTCCATCTGTTGAGTACTTTTTCCTATGAAGTCAGAATAAGTTGGTATCCCTCAACAACGGAGGGGTTGGCGCGTCATGCTGCAATGTGGGACGCACCTGCATGGAATTTACTTTATACGGACGACCTTCAGAATCAGAAGTGTTCATGGCTGAGATGAGCATGATTTGAAGTGGCGAGGTGAGGTTTGGATCCAAGTAGCGAGCTGAGCTTTGGGTGGAGCATGTCATTGTGGAGCTTCCACCTCTATCGAAGGTTTGTTTCATTCCTTCCATCATTTCGTGGCATCCCTTTGTCTTTGCGCCTGTCTGTTGCTTGTAAAACGTAGCGTGCCCCTACTGGTGGCCAGAAATTTTTTTTCTGAAATCTCCGAATCCAAATCCAAACAATTTACTTGTGTGGTCATAGTCAGCATACTCGACAACGACAAAGGTTTCTGCAATTAGATCAATCCAATTAGATCAACTTCGCAAAGAAACGTAAAGTTGTACCTTCCCTAAAGAAGCAAGGCCAAAGCAAATACCCCTGTTTCTACAGAAAAATATACACACCTTTTCTCGACCTAGTCATAGAAAAGGTCCTCTCCCAACCAGAAGATGGAGTACGAAATCTACCTTGCCTGCAACGTTCTTGGCCTCGTGGCCATTGGGCTGACGTTCTTCTACCACTACGTCGCAGCGCGACCCCCAGTGGAGCATCGATCCAGTGCTAAACGGGCACTGTAAAAATGATGGTGTTCCTCTTCGGGAAGAGAGAATGACGCTTTTGGGGTGGTTTGGAAGGAGGAGTACGGGTCCTGGAGACTAAGAAAATGATGGTTCTTTTGGGGGTGGTATGGCGGAATGAGGATGTGCCCTGGAGGGACAACAACATAAGTAGAATCATGGTCCTGGAGGTAGGAAGAGACTCGGCGACCAGTGGTCATTAGAGGAGAAGCGAAGACTCCTACTCGTTGTCAAAGGACTAGAGAATGGAGAAGCGGGAGACTAGTGGCCGTGATGAGAAAAGTATGAAAGAGGCTTCACAGTATTAACGTTTGACGAGGATTGGCAGGTGTTTTAGTTGGTGGTCGATAAGGTTTGTCTAGCATTTGGTGGAACCCATAGGAAGTACATAAGCATAAAACTATAGCCTAGAATGATGAAACATAGCTTAAGAAAATAGAAGACGACAGGGAGGTTTCTATCCGTGTCTATAGAAAGAGGATTCATGAAATACATACCACAACAAAAGATCATGACTTCATACTTTCCTTCACGACTTCTCTGAAAAAAATATTAAGTAGATGGTACCCTCCATCTGAATCTCTCTGCTTCCATATCCAGAAAAGCAGATGGCTTAAGCGTGTTAGAAACAGACGTCGGAAAGAAGGATGAAACTTTTTTACTAGGGCTTCTCGAAAAAGTAAAAGATCATTTTCTTATTATCTAGTTCGGTCTCCATAAGAACAACTATGCCTCCTCAAAAAGATCAATTCAAAACTAGACGGATCCGCAAAACCTATTCAAAGTCTAAGGCTCTGCAAAAGAAATACAAAAAACAGGTTTCCTTGATCACGAATGCTCATCATGAAAATACAAGTTCTTGATGCCTGTATGACCACAGCAGATCTGACATTCAAAAAAACTGGCATCATTTTTTTCTGATATGATTTTTTCCGTGTGTTATTTATGGTATTCGTATTGCTTCACCTTCAACAACAACAACAGCAGGGGGCTTTTTTTAGGTGACGATTTGACGAAATTCGTTGGTCTTGAGTTTGAAGCTGTTTGAGATCACTTGACAACAACTGACATCCATCACGTGTCATATTATCCTTCACGTTCGTGGACTTCCACTGATCATGTTATTTCTCATGTGTATGCTTGAACCTTGAACCTTTTGCGAATTCTTCGTTCAAGGCTACAACTGTTGAGTCTCTGTTACAACTATTCCTGTTATAAGCACTTAGCTTACAACGCTCCCCAAGGAACATTAGATTCCTGTTAAGTACTTAGCTTATGCTTGCTTATGAAGAATTAATATAATTCCAAGAACAAAAAAATATGATCGCGACGCATCGAGATCAGTTTGTTGGCCAAGGCTCTGCCTTGATGAGGGAGTCCCAACAGGGAGAAGAGGAGTACACGCAACGTGGTAACGTGACAGTCTACACATCGATGGGTGAAATCACTTTCGAGCTGTATTGGGACCACGCTCCGAGGACGTGCCGAAATTTCTACGAACTAGCCAAGCGAGGATACTACGAGTCAACGCTCTTTCATTTAAGGATTACCACATTGAGTTGTACATTCCTCGAAGAGGCCTCACGGTATCTCTCGCGAAGCCGTTGCACCTAGCAATCTGGCATGAGTGAGGCCCTTGAACTTTCAGCTTCTTGTTTCCCAATAGGAAATGAGTCAGGGATATTTTGCTGCCTCTATAACTAGGGAAGTTGCTCCTCTGGACCCCACGTGGCAAATGTAGTGGGCTAGGAAGTTCCTCCTTACTGCAACAAGATTTCTGTAGCTTCCTTGACTATTTTGAAAACGAGAAAGAGAGAAGAAAAACACTCAAGCAGCTTGAGAGGCTCAAAGAGTTGCAACGTCGAACGCGAACGAGAATAAGAGTGGGCGCTGTTTGTTGTTGTTGTTGCATTTTTTTAAGATGTGAAAGCCTTTACGCGTGTACAGTAACCCGAGGCCATACCTGGCTCAGCCCGCCAGAGTAGCAAGCCAAGCCACGAACCCGAGAGGGCTCGCCGCTGCCGTTTCCGCCGCGAGCCCGATTCGGCCCCGTCTTGCATGCTTCGGACAAATCAGCCTCGCGAACCCGAGCGCGGCTCCTTGCGGGCCCGGCCCCGTGCCAGCCCAGCTCCGTGCGGGCCCGGCCTTGTGCGAGCCTGGGCCATAACGTGCCCCGCCCCGTGCGAGCCCAGCCGGCATCGCCGGCTCCGTGCGAGCCCGAGCCGGCCCCGTGTGAGCCCAGCCCCGTGCGAGCCCAGCCATGTCCGAGCCCAGCTCTGTGCCAGTTGAGGTGGGCCCCGTGTGAGCCTGTCCCCGCGCGAGCCCGGTCCCGCCGGATCTGTGCGAGCCCAGCCGGCCCCGCGTGAGCCCAGCCCCGTCTCTTCGAGCCCAGCCCCGTGCGAGCTCAGCGGGCC